AATATTTTTTCCTTGTATAGCCGAGCTTCTATTTTTGAAAGTTCGGAAAACATCCATGAAGTGGTTTGATAAAAATTCAAAAAGTACAAAAAATAGTCTATAAAATAGTATTGGGATTTAAATAAACTCTATAAAAGCAAAAGTAGGTAATAGTAGTGGCTTCAGCTGCAAGTACCTATCTTTAGACTTGATGTAAATTATCAAAGTCTAGGTTAGCCAGATTGTAGATATAAAAAGCTTTAGCAAGTTTACTTGAGAGTAAATTAGCTCTAGGTCAGGATGCTTCTTATGACAGATATTGGTTCTTTATAAAGATATGACAATACAAAGAATTCAAATAAATAATTCTCTAGTTAAATTATAGATATAGTATTTAGTATAGAATCTTCAAGTAGACTATTTAATCGATATAAATCAATATCAATCATTCTGCAGATAGTAATTGATATGCATCTTATTTAAAAATTTCTTGATAAGTTATCAAGAATATTTACTCTAGATCACCTCATATTTTCAATTTAGATAGTCTGATTTGCATATATTTTTCTCTACATCTAAACACAAACTCTCTTTATAAAACAGTTTAAATAATTTGGTATGTATATTAAAAGGATTTTTACAATAGATTGTCTGGCTCTATTTATTTGTAATGATCTAGTTGATAAAAGTGCCCCTTAATGCTATGTAATATATATTGTAACACAATATGAAAATATCAATTCGCATAATGCATCAAAATACCCCCAACTCACAAAACATAACAGTTTTCAAATAGTTTTTGAAAGTTCTGATTTGTCTTAAAATTTAAGACGTTTATTAGTTTGACGATGGATATTAGATAGAGCTTCGATCCTTAATCCGACTATCTGGATTGATCTTTAAATCCAGATAGATTCAGATATTTAGATCAGAGATTTTTACTCGGATTGGTCAAAGAACTTAATTAACGAACCTAAGGATATGCTACAAAGCTAGCTTTATATATAATCTAACGCGGATTCAATCCGGATTTAATAGAATCCGGATTGCCTGTCAAAAATAGGATCGATGCTCTAATATTAGATCGAATATTAGTTTATTTTAATAAAATTTGGGAATAATATTTTTTTGAAAACTTTTACTATTAGCACTCTTAGGTGCGTCAGAATACCCGACCTCACCTTATGAGTGTTGCCAAATGAAAACCCGGAAATCTAAAAATAGATCACTTATGAAATTCATAAGTGATCTATTTTAAATTTCCGGTTTCATTTGGCGACACTCATATTATATAAATTTCAATTTTTTATGTTTTGCTTTACTATAAAAAACCATCGGGCGTTACTTTTGTTGGCTACTGTACATACGTAGTTACGTAGGTTTAGACAGACTGCCGTTTTTTTTTTTGTATTTAACAGGTTTTTTTTCTTGTTTTGCTTCGCCAGCGGTCATCAAAATTCTATAATTTGATTGGTCATATATTACGTGATTCCACTTTAAACATAGACTTATTTGCTACCAAAATTTCGAAGATCATCTACATATATATGCAAAATAAATAATTCGTTTCGAAATCTATAACCGAAAGAAATACAGTAAATATAAACGAAATGATCAAAATGAAAGCCATTTTTAGTTTACTGCTGCTATTAGCATGTTGTAATCATGTTATTTCTTATAGTCAAATATCAAGCGAAGGTCTGAAATTGCTTACGGATTTGACAGACACCGAACGTCTTAAAGTCACCGGGGAATTTTTGAAACCACTTTTGATAACTCGGGTTCCTGGCACAGAAGAAAGCGTTAAAGTGCAAAAATTTATTATTTCAAATTTTAAAAAATTGGGATGGCATATCGAACAAGACAATTTTACAGACCATACACCATTAGGAGAAAAATCCTTCAACAATATCATCGTAACAAAGGATATCAATGCCAGAAGGCGACTAGTCTTAGCAGCTCATTACGATTCGAAATACTTTCCACCACCTAACGAATTTGTTGGTGCTACCGATTCTGCCGTTCCGTGTGCGATGTTAATAGATCTGGCCCATAGGTTAAATCCATATTTTGATCATAGAAAAGATGTAGAGTCGGCCGACCTCACACTTCAAATTATTTTTTTTGACGGTGAAGAAGCGTTTGAATCCTGGACAAGCACCGATTCACTTTATGGATCTCGGTATGATTATATAATATTAATTCAGGGTTGGTCAAATCGTTGATCAACCAAGAATTTACTGGTCAATGGTCTGGTTAAATTGGTCAAATAGTCTGGTCTACTAATTAAATAGGTTTGTTACACATATATGAAATCTATATAATAATATGTATATAGACAATTTAGCAAATTTGATAAATGCCAAACCTTTGGATCAGACTGGCTAAATTGAACAAATTGATCTGGTCAATATTGATCGTTTACTGGTCCATGCCAACCTTGAATATTAATGTAGTTAATAACCTTTAGAAAATAACTAACAGTTGCCATTTTTTTTTTCGTAATATTAAACATTTCCATGTTTTTAGACATCTGGCAGAAAAATGGGAGAATACATATATGATGACGACTACCAATCCTGATAATAAAGCTAGATCCGTCCTTGATGCGATCGATGTATTCGTTTTACTTGATCTTCTAGGCGCGAAAGAACCGAACTTTGTAAATTTTTATCAAACCACTTCATGGATGTTTTCCGAACTTTCAAAAATAGAAGCTCGGCTATACAAGGAAAAAATATT